GGAGAAAGAGAGGGAAGAATGAGACACAGGGGAGACAGAGAGGGAAGAATGAGACACGGGGAGAAAGAGGGGGAATAGAGAGATGGGGAGGGGGAGAAAGAGACAGAGAGGGAAGAATGAGACACGGGGAGAAAGAGGGGGAATAGAGAGTTGGGGGAGGGGGGAGAAAGAGAGGGAAGAATGCCCCCCCTCCCCTGTCCGCAGGCACTGCAGGAAGAGAGGACCTGGGAGCTCACCCTGCAGCTCCTCTGGGTCCTTCTTGCGCGAGCACAGAGCGTTGCCGCGGTTACCATGGCAACGTTACTGCTCTTGCGAGAGTCAACTCTAGCCCTGGAGCTACGGGCTAGAGTTCACTCTCAACACTGTAACCCCATGGATTCCTGGTGGTCGCAGTGGTGAGAGTGAACTCTAGCCCCATAAACACACTGCCCCCACACACACACCATACACATTCACACACTCCCCCCATACACACCATACACATTTACACACATTGCCTCACACACACACATACACTGCCCACCCATATACACACAGACCCCCATACACAGCCCCCCATACTAACATTGCCACACACATACACTGCCCACACACCCTACACATTCACACACTACACCCCCACACACACACTGAACCTTTCACACACATTGCACCACTGCTCCTATTCCCTACTACAGCCTCATATCCCAGCAGACCCCAGGTAAGTTGTCAAACTGTTCTTAAACGGTTTGACTACTTACTCTGGAGCAGTAGTGGTTATTGTGCATGCATTATTTCTTTAAATAATCTACAAGTGCCCCAGTAGCAAGCCAGCCAACCCACAGGCTGGCCAGTAGCCAGCCCACAGGCCTACAGCAAGCCACAGGCTTACAGCCAGCAAGCCACAGCCTGCTGGCAGTAGCCAGCAAGCCCACAGCCTGCTGGCAGTAGCCAGCAAGCCCACAGCCTGCCAGCCGCAGCCAGCAAGCCCACAGACTGCCAGCCAGCAACAGTAATTAAGGTAAGAGGAGCCAACTTGGCTTAGGTATCAGCGAGCTATGTTGTGTTACTATATTGTGATTAGGAACCAGAGTGTTGCAGAGACCACCCTCCAGGCCCCATTAGACTCTAGCCTCTGCTAGAAATCCCCTCCATGGCCCATTAGCCCTCAATTGTAGTTTCTACTGGGGCCTGGAGGCGACTGTTTCCAGCAGGGGATATCTAATGGACGCTGAGATGGCCTCTGTTAGAAAGACCCCCTTCCAAGCCTTTTAGACTCCATTGTAGTCTCTAATGGGGCTTGGAGGGGATTCTTTCTAACACACTCTCTAAAGGACACGGAGATAGCCTCCGCTAGAAAGACCCCCATCCATGGCCCATTAGCCCTCAATTGTAGTCTCTACTGGGGCCTCGAAGGGCTTATTGCCCTTTTGTTCCTTGTGTCTAAAGATTGTGTAGGGTGTGGCTTGAGGCGGTGCATGGAGGTAGGACAAGGGTGGCGCTTGCTGCAGAGTATGGGTGGGGCCTGTAAGGGGGCCCTTGATTTATTTTGCCCGGGGGCCCTGAGGGTTCTCAGTCCGCCCCTGGGAGTAAACATGACATTAAGTGGTAATAACTATAAGACAATCTTGGTGCGCCCTCTCAGGTGGGTGTAGGATTTAAAAAGTGGGAAGCATAATGACCTCCCTCATGAGTTTAAAGGATAACTATTGTGGTACTTCATCCGAGGGACTCTTGCGAAGTTAAAAGTAGTGCATATTGGTAGGGCACTAGCGGCTCGTGTGAATGTAATACGTACGTATTGTTAAAACATGTAGGTAACTTTTATAACATTTAAGTGAACATAGTGGTAGAACACATTGGTAGCTCATGTGGTGTTAGGGCAGACCCGTTAACCGCACTCGGAGGTAGCTCCAGTGCATCGTGTATAAGGCTTTGCAGTAGAATATATAAGTACCTCTTATGGGGTTAAGTCACATAAGTAAAATTCTAGTCAACAGTGCTAATAGTACACATTAAGTAAAAGCGTCTCTCTGTGGATCTGAAATGGTTAATAGTGAAGACAGCCGTGGGAGCATCAACTGAGGGATTAAAATAGTGAGATCCCTCCTCCCAGGAAAAAAGCAACAAAAAACACAGACCCCACAAATAAAAAAAAAAATAAAAAAAAAAAAATTGTTTAAGGTTAGTCTCTTGTTGCGCAGCCGGACTTAAGTCTCTTTTGGGCCTCTGTTCTGGCCTGTCAGGTTTCTTAGCAGCTGCCTCCCTTCAGGGTTACCCGACCTATGGAGGGCGCTGATGTAGTGGTCGCCGTTTCACTGTTGCTGTGCCAGGGTTTTCTTCCCTCTCGGTGGTGTGAGTGTCGGTTGGTAAAGTCCCGTGCTCCGTGGGCACTGTGGGCGATGGCTGTGGTAATTGGAGCTTCTCTAGGAAGGCCGCCGGATCCTCTGCCGCGGACAGCGTCAACACTGCGTCTCCGTGTGGTACCACCAGGGTACCTGATGCGCCCCATCGATATCTGACTCCGTGGTCTCTGAGGAGTTTGGTGACTGGCATGAATCTGCGTCTCTCCAGCAGGACAGCGAAAGGTATGTCATCAAAGATTCTTACTTGGCAGTTTTCGACAGCTATGAGGGGTGTGCTCCGTGAGCTGGTCAGCATCGCTGTCTTCACTGCCTGGCTCCGGGTGACCGCAATGATGTCCCTGGGGGCGTCCACAGGGGCTGTTGCAGCCT